GCTAGACATTTATTGTCAAACCTCCATTGCCACGGAGCCAAGATGTTGGTTCTGAGGAAGGGTCACCAGACCTGAAACGTTAACTCTGATTTCTCTTCACAGATGCTGTCAGACCTGCTGAGCTTTTCTAACAACTTCTGTTTTTGTGTCAAGGTATTGGGTTTGCTGACCCAGTATCATTGTATACTTCAAGAAAGCCAACCGTGACAACCTGATGATAACTAGGAGTTGGGTGACAAATGGGATCTTGATAGAATTGCTCATATCCCAGAAGCACATTTAAAAATAATTTAAATATATTCCATCTTGATTCAAGTTTCTCATTTGATTTGGTCAATTGATACAGTGTGGAAGGAGGCCATTCAGGCCATCATGTTTGCATCGACTCTTGGAATGAGTACTTTACTTGGTGCCATCCTTTCACCTTCACCTTGAAACCCTGCACCTCCTTTCTTTTTGGATAAGTCTAATTCCCTTTCGAATGTTTCATTTGAACTTGCCTCCACGCTCTAGGCAATGCATTCTAGATCTGTGTAACAATATTGGATTTCTTCAATTCATTAAAACTGTATGATCCTGAAACAGAGGAAAAAGCAAGTGCTGGGGAGTGGTTAGGCAAGATGGTCAGGGCTAATTCAAGTTTTGAGGCACTCTGCTTTTTCTTTCTTTCCTCTTCACCACAGTGTAATCATGTTGTATGCTGCAGATGCATTTAACAATAGAGTGCAAGTGGCGCTGATTTAAAAAGTGAAAAAAAAACACAAAGAATTGTAATACTGGAAATTCAAAACACAAACTGAAATTGTTGGAGGAAACTCAGCAGGTCTGGCAGCATCTGTGGAGAAAAAGCAGAGTCAATGCTCCGAGTCCAGTGACCCTTCAGAACTGATAGCTGGAAAAAAATGTGATATTTATGCTTGGGGGAGGGGTGGGGGCCAGCAAGAACAGGAATGACAGTTAAGGAGACAAAGGGATGATTGATATTCTGCTCAGGAGGAAAAACAAACTGATAATTGGGACCATAGGTAGGTGAAAATGAGTTGGCTATGCTGAAAACAGCCAATGTGATAACAGGGCCTCTGGTTTGGGTAAAGGGTGTGGCAGATGTTCAAGTTCTAAAATTGTTGAATTCTCTATAGAGTCCTGAAGGCTGCAGTGTTCCCAAACAGAAAATGAGATGCTCTTCTTCCATCTTGTGCTAAGTCTTGTTGGAGCACTGCAGCAAGCCCAAGACAGAAATGTTGACCAGGGAACCTGGTGGACTGTTAAAGTAACAGGCAACTGGAAGCTCGGTCATTTTTATGGACAGAATGTAGGTGTTCTGCAAAGCAGTCACCTAGTCTGTGTTTCGTCTCCCATTGTAGAGGAGACCACAATGTGCCCAGTCCCTTCCGACTTAAAGCATTGGTGGGATCAAGTTATTTTCAGAATTTCCAGTTTGCATGCACCAGCTGCAGCCTCTTCACCGTGAATGTGCAGTCCCTTCTACATGCCCATGCCCATCCCCATCCATCACTACCCTCCTCTGCCTGGCTGAGCTTATCTTCACTTTGAACAGCTTCTCCTTTAACTCCTCTCTCACTGCAGGTCAAAGGTGTGGCCATGGGTACCCCTATGGGACCCAGTTATACCTGTCTCTTTGTGGAGCATGTAAAACATTCCTTGTTCCAATCATTCTCTGGCCCCAAAACATACCTGTTTCTCCAGTGCATCAGTGAGACCATTGGTGCTGCTTCCCTTTCTCATTCTGAATTGGAAAAATGTATCAATTTTGCCTCCAATTTCCACCCTGCTCTTGCCTTCACTGGTCCATCTCTGATTCCTCCCTTCCCTTCCTTGACATTTCTGTGGATAGGATGGCCATTGTTATCCACTGCAAACCCTATGATTCCCACAGTTGCTTGGACTGTACATCCTCACACCCTGCTTTCTGTAAGGACTCTTTCCCATTCTCCCGGTTCCTCAATTCCATCTGTTCTGATGATGCCACCTACTGCAGACAGATGAGCCTCAGAAATGTTCACATTTTCCCTCAACTGAGGATTCCTCGTCACCGTGGTCGATGGGCCTTCAACTGTGGCCGACCCATTTCCTGCACTTCTGCCCTCTTCTCCGCCTTCAACACTGATTAGTGTCTCCCAGTCCTCACTTTCCATCCCACTAGCATCCACATCCAAAGGATCACAAGCCACCATTTCTGCCAGATCCATCAAAATGCCACCACTTGACACATTTCCCTCCCTTCCTTTGCCAGCATTTCACAGGGGCCATTCTGTCCAGGACACCCTGGTCCACTCCCAACATTACCTCGCATGCCCCATGGCACCTTCCCATGCAGTCGCAGAAGGTGCAACACTTGCCCATTGTGTCCTTCCTCCTCACGATCGCAGGCTCCAGACATACCATCAAGGTGAAGGTGCAATTTACCCGAACCTTACTCAGTCCAGTATGTGCTGCTCACAATGTGGTTGTCTCCTGTCAACTTCACCCAACCACCAGCAAGGATAAACACTACCTTTTGCTAGCTACTATCTGTTCTGCACTGAACTCAGTGCAGAACTCTACTTTCTTACCACAGATGGTGTCAGATCTGCTGAGTTTCTCCAGCAATTTATGTTCTGATTAAAAAGCAGTTCCATCATGTTACAGCTGTTAACATTAATGTTGAAACTCCTTTCAATGGAAACATGCATTTTCCACTCTAGCACCCGTCTCTCCAAAACATACTGTCTAATTGAGCAACACTACTGGAGATCTGTTAGTGTAGGATTGAACTTCTGTCTTAATTTCATGAAGCTTTAACCACAGTAGTTTACATATGTAAATGTTGACTTGCCTCACCCCTTGTAAGTTGCTGGATTGACTTCTTAATAGCAATAAGAATACAGCAACAAATAAATGACTCTGGGGTAACTTGGGATGGAAAATGGATGCGAGCAAGGTCCCTCCATGATCCACTTGAGTTATATCTTTCTGTTGAGACATGTTGTGCAGGTAAGTGATGACTGCTTTTTTTTTTGTTTTGCACAATGACTCTGATACTTGTCCCGAAGCAGGAAAAAATATTGATGTATAAAAGGCCATTCTTGCTTGAAATTGGTACAATTTCCTGTCTGTTGCATTGTTTTCACTAGGAGTATAAACTTGGATGTTTAAGTAAGTTATGATGTACACTGTTAGTTTGAACTAAACTATTAGCACTTTCAAAAAAACAGGACAAAATGTCAGACTGGAGGTGATGCAGCTTAATTTGTAATAGCCAGTAGGTGGAGCCAGTATTCTAATTAGTGCACGTAACAATTTGGTGCACTGCCATTTTCCATACTGCTTATTTAAAATTCCCTTCAGTTCACTTGATTTCCCTCAATGGTCATTTGAAATTCCTCAAAGTGGCTGACAATTCATTTTTAATTTTACTGTTAATAGCTTTTGAGAATGCTGGTGTTAAGTGTAAAAAGTAAAATTTCTGACGTTTACGTGGATTAGAAATAAATAGTCTTGGTGCATAAAGGCCTTGATCATTTGAGAATTTAACGTGCTCAGCACGTTTTTTGCAACATGGTGGGACTGACTGTAGTGGTGGCCAATTTTCTGAAAGTTTTAACGAATGCATAGAATTCATCTACTGTTACACTATTTTTATGAAAATGTCTCATCATTTTGCTGGCTCTATATTTTTATCCTCACTTTAAAAAGAAATTTTAAATGGTTTACACCCAAGCTTTTATTTAAAGTTGCAAATGTCTTGCATTTATTCCATTGATTCTGCCTCAACGTTGATCCCCCTTATTGATGTTTCCATGTTACAGGGAAACAAACAGAATTGTCCGCTGCTCATTAGTTAGGTTATTTATTGCCTTCATAAGAAGTGAAAAGGTAATACTTCCAATTGCCTTCGGGGTACTTTTCCCACACAGACCAATTAGTGTTGGACTGCTTTGCTAAACTAGGAAATGTGTTACATGTGAATTGCCACAATTTGTGTTAACGGGTTTCACCATTAGAATGGCTTCAAATGGTTGCACAGTGCAACACGAAATGCTGAGTGGTATGTTGCCAGTTTATATCCCATGGAGACACAAAGCATGTAGCTGATTGCTACTATGCTTTCAAGGAAGGTGTGGTGAAGATTCTGATTTTTCACCAATGGACAAGTCATTCTGGGTCTGTCAGCCATCTTCCAGTGTCTGAGTAGGAAAGCATACCATTGCTGAACTTCAATGGCTTAGTCTTTAAATGCATTGAGTTTTGTGTGGTGTTCAATAGACTGATGAGATTCCAAATTCAGTCCTTGACCCTTATTGATTTAGATCTCAACCAGAGCAGTTGTGGGGACGTTTATAACTGCTTTAACTGTTCTCAGGCTACAGAAAGGAAACATAGCCAAATTTTGTTTCCAGTTGATAGTCCCTGATCTCTGTTGTATGATACTCATGGGTGTTTTGTTCTAGATTATCAATAGAAGTAATTTGGGGCACCCTGAAGACTCAGCTTGTTTAGATGTCTGTAACTGAGCTATGAAGCCTAAAGATCCCAGATTCTGAGTAGTGTTCAGTGATGAGTTAGTTAATCACAGCCAATATAGGAGTAGGGTTGATGCAATTTTGTCTATGGCCTTCTGGATTATGGGGCAAAAAAGTCACAATAAAGTCTCATGCCTCATCGTTCTCAGTGAGCCCTCCTGTAAGTGTGCAGTGATATTGGATTAGGTTTAGCTTGGCCTCCACAGGTGAATAGAATGCCTTTTTAGGTCCACACATAATGAACATGCATCTGAGTGCACTGTCAGAAATCTGGTACATCTATACTTCATTCAGGAATAGAAAAAAATTGGTCAGGGTTGGAAAGCTGAAATTCCATTAACTCTTATTGCATGTATTCCTCCATTAACAGTGTACTTTCAATGAATGTTTTAATCATTGTGAGATGAGTGATATTTTATTTTGTGGATGTCTGTAATTCCCACTTTCTTTGTAAAGACGTGACTTGTTTTTCTTTTGCAGTTCCTTGTTGAGCATCTTGACTGAGCAGCGCTGAATTAAACTATAAACTGTAAGGTACAGATCATTTAGTCAACAGTGACAACAGCAAGGCTGCCAATAGCATTGATGACATTTGCTGAGACGTCTTGCGCAACCTTTGCATCTGCAGCAAGCGCTACAAGTTTTGCCATACAAATGCGAATAAATGTTCTGAACTTGGCATTTTGCTTTATGACATGCCTCTTTATGAAAAGGCTTGATTCAAATCTTTCATGGCTGTCAGAAGGGTAGATTTCGTAGGCCCAAACATAAATTACTGCATGTAAAATATGATGTATATAATTATGAAAATCACAGTGAAAAGCATATACCAGGTACTGTTACTCTGCAATGAGTATATAAGTTCCACATCAAGGCGATAGCCATCTGAAGAGAAATATTAATCCTGCTGAGCTAGGAATGTGGCAAAAATTCACAAACGGATGATCGCTAATTTCACAAAAATCTTATGCTGCAGAAGCTTAACAGGGAACTCCATTGCAGGTATCAGAAGTGGAACAGAATGTATATCTCTGCAAACAAATGGAGTGGGAGTGGTGCTTTCCATATTTCTTGGAAATAGCTGGGATGCTGTGCTATCATGGAGTGATACTCTTGAAAGGATGTGACTAAGGCCTGGCATTTTTTATTTTGTTAGTCTTTCTTATGCCTAATAGAATAGATCACAGTCTCTTTCTAAGCTCAGCGGGTTATCCCAGAAGAATCTGCATTGCATGCAAAAAAAAGCAGTTTATAAATTAAGCTCATTGTAAACTGTTGTATCAGTGCATGTTCATTATTAGCAGACTTCAATTGATCAATTTAGCAGTGAACAAGTGACAACATTTGTGAAGGTGCATGTGATGCACACTTGTGTTCACTGCATTAATTCCACTACTTAAAAAAAATTAGCTAAATATTTCTTAGTATGTATCACGGTGGGTTAGTAGATTAATTTGCTGCAAAACTTGACTTTTACCAGTTACTGTTTTCCAGTAGCTCAATCATAGTTTTAAACTGTTCTCTAATAGTTTATCATGCTGTTGTTAGATATTGCTTGTAATGTTAAGTTGAACATCACCATCTGTCCTTTTACTTAAACAAAGTATCTTGACATATTCTTAAATCATCCTGAATCACTGGAATCTCCATGTTGGTTAAATGGAAGGTTTGTTTAATTTTTATTCCAACTATTAATAACTTATATATGGTTATAAAATGGATGTTCTGAATTTGAACAACCTCCAACACCTGTTTAGTTTCCAGAAGCTGTTGTGGAAAAGTTCTCATGCAGGAGGTGTTACCATGTTATATTTCTGAATGATCTGATTTTGAACACTTAGATTTACTTCTACATTGGAACTATCTTCCAACTTTGATTAACTACTAAGTTGCAGGACAATTCATCTCTTGCCCTAACCCATCCAATGTTGCAGTTCAGGTTTTGTAGAAGGAATATTTGTTTTGATCTAATTGTTAGTTTACTGATTTCTTTTTATTTGTAATTCTCTAAACTAGAGAAAACACTTCTTGATGCAAAGTATTCTTTAATTTTCTTGAAGCAAACTACTGTAATTGTCATCTGTATTGATGGTTATAAAAATGTAAACATTCTAATGACCTTCTGCCATCAGATAGTGTTTCTTGTTGGGATTTAGGTTATTTGTTCTACCAATGAGAAAAAGATGTTAACATCAAAATGCTGCAGTTATCCATCATTGTTTTCTTTGAGGAAAGTCAAATCAATCAATCAATCAGTGGTCATGAAAATGGCTATGTAAATACAGACCTTTATTTTCAACAGAATATTTATTTTGTGGGGAACAAACAGTCTCTGTGCAAAATGGGTTTTTGTAGCTCTTGTGCTCTTTGTGATCCCCCCCAAGAAAAATTGGAGTATAATTCCATGCGGTACCAAAGCCCAAAATTACATCGGAGTACAGCTGCAGCCCATTTCTCCTTGGTACTGCAAGCTACAAGATACTTAGTTTCCATTTGTTATGTACAATCTTGCTGTGTAGTATCAGCTTTCAGAGACGAGAGCTAAAAATTAAATACGTTTTTAATTAAAATACATTCCACAGAAGAATTGGCTGAATTCTTTAAAGTAATCCCCAATAAACCAAAAAGCTAAAAACAGTATTTCCCTACATAGTCTAAACATGCCTATTGTTATAAAACATAATGAATAAAATCCACTGATAAATGTTTTGCATTTATAGCTTCCATCACATTTGCACATAATTGGCTCAGATTTATTGATTAAAAACAAAACGACATGTTCAATGGTATAATATCTAACAGCATGGATAAATGTGACAGTATTATTCAGCTTTTAGTGGAATTGTTTAAAATATTTAACTGTGCAAATCATGGTTCTTCTGGTACTGAAAAATCTGAGAATTTTGATCTCAAATTCTTAGTATTCCCAGTTTTCCTCAATGCATTAGAACCTAATCATAATCCCCTTTAAGGACATTTTTTTTTGTTTGATCGAAATCAAAGTCTTCAGGATGTTAACAGAGAATGACGGGAGAGAAGTATAAACTATTTCCACTGGTTGGGGTTTCTAAAACTAGGGGGCATAGTCTGAGATAACTAGTCTGAAGAAGGGTCTCGACCCGACACGTCAGCCTTCCTGCTCCTCTGATGCTGCTTGGCCTGCTGTGTTCATCCAGCTCTACACCTTGTTATCTCAGATTCTCCAGTATTGGCAGTTCCTACTATCTCGGCATAGTCTGAGAATTGGGGCCAGTTCAGAAGAGATGTTAGGAAACATTTCTACACACAAAGGATGGGGATGCTAGATCAGTTGTTAATTATCTGTCTCAAATTTAAAATGTTTAAGCAAAGGTATTAAGGGATATGGGCCAAACATAGGTATATGGAGTTAGGCCACAGATCAGCCATGATCTCATTGAATGGTAAATCAGGCTCAAGGCGTTGATTGGCCTATTCTTATTTAGATGTTCCTGTAAAAGTAAAGTCATCATAGTTCTACTGGACCGTAGCGCTGCTGTCTCATTAGAAAGACACAATGGTTTCACAATGGTAATGGTTTAACCTGAGGGTCATCATGCATCAGACGAGGAGAGAGGTTTGAGAATGCGAGTCCTTCATGGTAACTCAGTCAGTGTAGAAGTTAAGTTGCGCTGTTTGCATTAATCTGCATCACAAACCAGCCGTCCAGCTAACTGACCCCCTTTTGTTCCAATAAGTACTAGTTGCACTTGGTGACCTGTTAATAGGATGAAAAGTAGAAACTCCTTGGTTATGACCATTTCAAAAAATCAGAAATGTATCTTTTGAATATCAATCGATCTAAATTAGCAATATACTCGGTGAAAATTGTTCTGACCACTGATTGGAGTTTTGTATACAATAATGGAACACAATAATATAACTAATAAAGTTAATGGAAGCTGCTCTCTTTGCCTTAATTGGAGTCTTGCCTATTAAGATCAACATATAATGTCACAAATCGTGAAAGCCTTTGTTTAATTTTGTAGAAATTTAATAATGTTCAAAAATCTCAATGTTTACATGTTGACAAGAGATTTTATAGGTGAACTTGCATAAACGTTTTGACCTGAAGGAGCTGTTCGTGCATTAGTATCTATAAATGAGATATTTTGCCTTGATTTCTACATGCATCAGGATCCACGGGCTAGGTTATGCCACATTACTTACACTTTTTCTGTTCTGATTCTTGGATTCAGCTAGCAAACCTTCACTGTTCTACTGTTTCAAGGGTTTGTTTACTACATCTGGTACAAATCAAGCATAAATTACTTTTGTTCTGAAAATGTACAGATACATTTGTCATAGTTTAAGCATGACAGTTTATCACATCTATTATTGGGCCAGGATTAAGTTAATTCTGCACTGGTTTATATTGTTTAAAGAAAATTCTCAACACACTTCTGAGTCAGAGTGTTGTGTTCAAATCTAAGATGACACTTCCAGTATTGTATTGAGGGGGTGCTCCTATCAGAGATGCAATCTTTAAGAGGAGTCATTAAACCAGGACCACATCTCCCCCCTCAGTTGAACAGAAGATCCCATGGCACTATTTGGAAGAGGAGCAGGGAAGTGTTCCCCGATGATCTAGCTGATATTGATCCCTCAACCAGGTTTTTACAAAACATTATCAGGGTGGTTTTTGTGTGCAGATTGGTTGCTTAAAATCACAAGATTAGCTGTAAGTCCCAAGTTCTCCATTAGGTTGTGAAAAGCGCAACACAAACGTAGGTCTTTTCTAGCTTTGGTTTCTTCTGTATGTTATGGTTGAATGGCAGAGCAGACACGATGGGCTGAATGGCCTAATTTTGCTCCTATTTCTTTGGAACATATGAAGTTAACCCTCAAATGTTGTCCTATATTTAGAAACGCATATTCACTTTCCAGTTTCCTCCACGCAGCCAGTCAGCCAAGTTTGAGCATTTACCTGCAGGGAAAGGGAGCAACATCAGACTATTCTAAAACATCTCTTTACAGTGGAATTAAGAATAACATAGGCATATTCTACAAACAGGTAAGCTTTCTGCCTTCTTAGTATTGGGGAGGTTGGAGCAAACTTGTGGAATGCAGTTCAGGTACCTTACATCTGAGGTCAGTGAGACCATCTAATCAAAGTTTGTATTTGATAATATATTATTTGGGAATAGTGTTTAATTTTGTAGGAATATATTGTTCAAATTATTTCCACTGTTTGTGTATCTTTCCTCATGTATATTTTGGCACTGAGGGAGGGGTTACATGGCCTGCTCTCTGGTACCACATTGATTCTTAACAACTCATCCCTGTTTAGTGCAGTTCCTCTCAAACTTTTAAGCTTGTCATTTGTGCTATTGTTGATATTCCACTCATATTAAAAATGCTGCTCAAATTTAGTGTGGCTTACACCTGATAACTTTTTGTTTTTAAGATGCAGTTTCCAGATTCTCCTGGCTATTCAGGTGAAGCAGTTTGACATTTTATTTAAGCTGTTTCTTGCACATCAGTCCTTAAACTCACCCTTTGAAGTAATTACAAGG